GAACAATGAACCTGTTACCAATCAGATGCTTCCCAGATGGTATTGTGTGGTAGCTCAAAATATAATGTACTTGTCTGTGTTCATAGTTCCATCAATTTCAACAAGATCCAAATGGATCTAGTGAAGATGCATCTTTCAGCTCTGCCTATTTTGCTGGATTTTTCTATTTCTTGGGAAGAAAACTTTCAGACATCATTCACCTGTGTAGACTTCTTCCTCTAGTTTTTTTTTTTTTAAGGACAAACTGAAAAAGTTATCAGCTAAAAGCACTTTGGCAATCACCTGATTAGTAAAAAAACAACAACACTATTTTATGTTCAACCACAAGGTTCAATGGAGCACCTTGGGTTCACGTCTGGCCCAGACCCCTTTGCCACAGAAACAAAATATAAAGAACTGAAGGGTGGCACATTTTGTTTCTTTGTATATTTGTTGTTTCACATTCAAAGTGCAAAATCTAGTTGTTATATTGTTTTTTTGTTTTTTCCCCCTCAGGATTTAGGTTTCATTTGGCTTAATTCAGAAGTGCAAACCGCTCGCTTCAAGATGAGAACTAATAAGCTGATGCTTCATGAAGATTTCTATGTTTCACTCATGGAGCTCCCAGAGGAATACGACTTTGGGATGTACTCTCGCTTCTTCAACACATTTGGCACCCACTATATCACAGAGGGAACTATGGGTGGAACCCTGGAACATGTCGTGATTGTCAACAAAACAACAATGAGAAACTTAAGTACTGGAGTTTTCCATTTTGTAATCAGAGTACCCTACCATATTATCACATGCGATGTAAAGTAACCCTTGTTTTGTCTTTTCCCCAATGTTTACAGATATTAACGCTGATCAAGCTGGTTCATGCTTTGGTGCCTCGTTTGGTTTGAGTATTCCAGTTGGCAGCAGTGCAGCAATAGAGCCCAAACTGTCAGGGCAATTATGCGACAAAGGCGGACATTTCAGTGAAGGTGAAAAATGGAAATTCTGTCTTTATCTAAATTAGCTAGTTAAATTGCTTTATTTGTAACTTTTTTCATTTCTTATAAAAACAGGGTTATAGTTTCTTTTGATTTGTTTTTGTATGCACAGATAGAAGAGGAAGTTCAGCTATTATTCAGGACGTTGTTACAAAAGTAAGCGGAGGAATCACAGACAGGAGCGCTGGTCTGAGGGCTATCAGGAACCCTGACATGTACCGGAAGTGGGGGTTATCTCTTAAATATAACCCAACACTCATTGATTATGAGGTAACTCTGTAAAAATAAGTAAAATTATGTATGAATCAAGATGAAATATATATATTGCTCTTCAACAAATGTTATAAATCTGAGTGTCATTTATCTCAACACACTGCTGACATCTTCTTGTAATGAACTTTCCTCTTTCTTCTCATCTTGTCTCTGTCCCACATGCCCTGTAAACTAGATCATGCCGATTCATGAGCTTGTACGTATCAGCACAGCTGCTGACCACGTAGGTGACAGACTGGCCAACTTGCAGCGAGCTATTGATGAGTATCTGCAGCAGTTTGACCCGTGCCGCTGTGCCCCCTGCAGCAACAATGGGATTCCTGTCCTCTCAGGCACGTCTTGTAATTGCATCTGTAGCTCAGGCTACCAGGGGTA